CCTGACTTGATTACTTCACAGTAGATTTGTCCTCTAAGATCCTGATCCTGATAAGCCCTTAATCTCTTTGGCGCTGCTACACTCTAAGGGACTCTTGCAGCTTTTACTCCTGTGGCTTCCTGTCTTGCTTGCTTTTTTTTTTTTTTTTTTTTAGACAGTTTCACTATGTCACCCTCAGTAGAATGCTGTAGTGTCACAGCTCACAATAGCCTTAAACACTTGGGCTTAAGCAATTCTCTTGCCTCAGCCTCCCAAGTAGCTAGGACTACAGGCACCTGCTACAATGCCCAGCTATTTTTGTTGTTGTTGTTTAGCAGGCCTGGGCTGGGTTCAAACCATCCAGCCTCAGTGTATGTGGCTGGTGCCATAGCCACTGAGCTACAGACACTGAGCCCCAACCCCCACATTCTTTATACTCAACACTGGGCAGCACCTTAACTTCTCCAAGCCCCTTTCTCTTCCCACTTCTCCCACCATCTATCCAGCCACTAAGCTGAGCTGGCTCTCTCGTTCCTTCTCACTCACACAGTCTGGCAGAGCCCAGGCCTGTCCCCTAGCCCCCACCAGGTCCACCAAACACCAACTCTCTCTGCTCCATCCTTAAATCTTTGTTTCCATGGACTCATCCTGGCTCAGGCCTCACCCTCTCCCATTGGACTTTCACCACAGCCTCCTCCCTGGCCTCCTAGCCTCCTGTCTCTCCCTTCCATTCTTTCTGAGTTGCCCCATAACTGGTCTTCCCCTTCTCTGCTCACAGCCTGGCTCCTAAGGCTGATGGAGGAGGTTCAAGAGAATGTCAAGAAAGCAGCAGTTTTGGTTTTTTTGTTGTCGTTATAAGGCCAAAGAAATATACATGACTGCTTTTTTATGCAATACCTCCTAAGTGTGAGGTCCTATGAGTACGATAGTGAGCAAACCAACCAACCAAACCTCAACACAGGTGGTTAACCAGAGAAGCAGATTTCCTTCACAGAAGGAAAGGTGTGCTGGTCTGAGAATGAGCACAGAGAGCAAAGGACCCTAGCCTGGGGTATCCCAGGGCTCCCCCTGTCCCTCAGGTGTAAAGGATGAAGAAAAGTGTGGAAAGTCTAGGCCAGGAAAACAGCCTGAGCAAAGGCTCGTGGTGGGCAGGTGTGGGGGCACATTCAAGGAAAGGCTGCGAGGCCAGAGGGCTTGTGAATGCCTGTATGCCTGGACTAGAGCAAGGAGGTGGCAGGGGATGATGATGACACTGACTGCGCAGAGATGGGTGGGGCCTTGTAAGCCTTTACAGTGTGGCCAGTGTTAGGAGGAAACAACCTCCTGAGGGGAGAACTCCAAAGCTCAAGGAAGGATGGAGGATGCCTACAAAGCCAAACTGACAGCTGCAGACTAGAGCAAAGTTCCCTGGGTCCCACCATATCCCTTGGTCTGCTCTGGGTGGGAAGTCCCCATACTGTCTGACCCTGGGCCTGCCTGCTTCATTCTATATATAGCAATCTCACCAGATGGCAGTTGCTGGGAGGTCAGGGCTCCCTCCAAGGCGGTCTCCTCTTCCAGCTCTAATCCCCTGCATCAAAGGGATGAGGCTTAGAGCCTGCCTGCAGTGCCCCTCAGTCCTGACTAGCCACAGGCAGGGGGATTTTCGGGTGGGAGGAGGGGACCAGGTCAGGTGAGAGTCGGCACCACAGGGAGGAAGGTGAGGCCAGATGGTGAATGCCTGGGGCCAGATGGAAAAGCAGGAGGGGCAAGGAATGAGTTGGTAGAGGGATGGGGAGGGGCCTCTGTCTGCCCCTAAGCTTTCCTCTTCTCCAACTCCCTTATATTTCTGCCTCTCAAATGCCCTTTGCCTCCTCATCCAAGGTATTTTGTCCTCAGACTCCCTACCCACCCCCTCTGAACTTCATCTCTTCACTTTTCTCTCAGCCTTGTTCCAATCATAGTAGGTCCCTGGGCCTAAAGAATACTGTCTGCAGTCAGCAGGTATGATGTTAGATCTTAGGAAGGACTTCCAGGGGTGGGGTGGAGGTGTGGGGACTCACCCATGCAGCTGACAGGCAGCGATCCAGTCCCTCATGACAACCAGGAAAGTATCCAAGTCCACCCTGGCCTGAGGGCCATCCCCATTGGGGTCCAGGCTGTGGGCCAGTGTTTGGAGGCGTGCATCCTGGGGCCCGCGGCCTGTCACAGCCTCCAGGTAGGACAGCACATGGGTCACAGCCACAATGCCTGGGATAGAGCATGCAGTGAGGGAGTCTGAGGTAGGTGGAGATTGGGGATTATGGACAGGCAGTGATTTGGGAGCAGGAAATCACTGGCTAGGCTAGTGACACCCCTCCCCATGGGCAAGTGCAGACACCTTGGGCAAGAACCTTTCCCTCCTTCAAGTCAACTTTTTCACCTTGATATGGAGCCTATCCATTGCCATCTCACAGGGTAGACCAAAATAGGACAGAGATGAGGGACAGCACCAGCTGTGCCCCACCATGGTGGCTTCCTCTCTCCCCACTCCCAGGCTCCGAAGTCCTGCCCTCATCTGTAAATGTCTGCTAAGATTTTCTCATCCTGAAAGGCCTGTCTACCCCCTTATCCACTTCCTTACTGAAGCTCCCACAATCACCTACTTTGTTCCTATAGGAATGCCAAGAGGAGCCCTAGGCCTGTTCTTTTTCTGAGGTTCTCCAGTTTCCAGCCCCCACACTGCCCCTACTGTTCCCCCAGTACCTGTCCTGCCCCCCACCTGTCCTCTGAGGGTCACAAGCTTCAAACGTGGAGTTGAGGATTTGTTCCTCTAAGCTGAGCAGCGTCCCCCGCTTCTCCTCCTCAGGCTGCTCCCAGAAGTACACTGAGGAGACAAGAGGACCCAGCTTACCAGTGAGGAGGTGGGGAAAGAAGGGACAGAGGAGGAAGAGGTGGAGGAGAGAAGGGTGACCTTGGCCTCTTGGCTTTGCCAAGGGGAGGGAATTTGCTCAGAGATGCCAGGAATTGGAGCTGCTGGGGAACAGCAGGAAACTTTGAGTAGGGGCAGCAATAGAGGGTTTTGAGTCACCTCCCCAATGTGGGGCCCATCTTTCCAGCCAGGAAGTCTCCCCCTGCTGTTTAATCCTTTGTGTCCAATCAACTCAGGAGCCCAGATAACTGGCACTCTGAAATCACCCTCTCCTCTTCTCTAGCCTCCCAGGTTGGGCTCAGAAGAGGATAGGAGGGGGGAGGGCAAAGAAGAGAGGATTCTGGGAGGAGCTGAGGGTGAGGGGGGGCCCAAGAGCCAGGAACAATCCAATAACATGTGGGCAGCCCGATCGATCCTGCCTGCTGCATCTCCGGTCTCCCAGCCCACCCTGGGGATCAGGTCTCTCTCCTCCCTACATCCCCAGGAGAGGCTGACGTCACTGGAGCCTGTGGCAATGGGCTAGAGATACAGAAGGATGGGGGTGATCCAGGCAAGGTGGGGAGTGTGGATGTCATCAGAAGCTGGCTTGGCCTTTCTGATCTGCCTGTCAGATCGACCTGGGTCCAGCCTAGAAGCACATCTTGTAGGCAAGTCGCTTTTCCTTTCAGAACCTCAGTTTCCCTACTGGTAAAACGGGGTCTGGGTAGAGTGATCCCTCTCACCAGGGCTGGGAGAGTTAGTTCTGAAGAACATATACATACACGCTCACACACAATGTGTGTATGTATCCTGGGGTCTGTTTGTCCATTGCTGTGGCCACAGGCTCTCAGTAAATGCTCCACAATATATAAGACATGATATAGGAGAAGAGCCTCTACTTCAGGAGCCATAAGGCTAGAAGTGACCTGGACTCGCTGCCCTGGCCTCGGACCACGGGGTGTACCAGCTCACTGGAGGCTGGAGCTCTGGGTAGACTCAGGGGGCAACCTGGGTTTGGCCTCAGAAGTGTGGCAGCACCTGGGACAAGTGACTCAACCTGTCTTTTCCCCCCTGCCTTCCTCTGTCTCCATCTCTCCTTCTGGGTGCGTTCCTCCTTTTCTTTTGGGAGCCTCCAGAAGCTGGCTCAGCTCTCGCCCATGGCTTCTTGGTGGCCGCACGCCCTCTGCTGGTGCAGGCAAAATTTACATGGAGTCACTAAAGGAACAGAGGGTTTCCACACCCTGGTGTCTGCCTCCCACCCTCCTATCTGGAAAGCCTCCTCAGGGTTAGGGCCTAAAGAAAAGATGCTGCTACATGCCTGGGCACCTCAAAGAAAGAGGCCCTGAGTCTCCAATCAGGTTGGGCTCTCCTAAGGGTGGGCTCTCCTCTTTAGAACAGGCTCTCCCACTTGGCAGATGAGTTTCAGAAAGGGAATCCACGCCTTTCCCTCAACCTGGCTTTCATACCCATTTGTCTATTCATTTAACAAAAGTAGCTGGTTCCTACTGTGAGTCAGGTATCGCTCTGAGAACCTGCCAACCAATAGGGCAGCCACTCATTCTGTGTGGCTCTTAACCACTTGAACTGGGTCTCCAAGTGTGACTAGAGATGGTCTATTAGTATAAAGTACCTGTTGCATCTTGAAGACATGGCATGAAAAAGGGACTATCTCAAAAAAAAAAAAAAAGAAAGAAAAAGAAAAAGAGACTATCTCAATACATTTTTATACTGACTGTGTGCTGACAGGATATTAATTTGGATACCCTATTAACACCGTTCATTTCACCTTTTTTCTTTAAAAAAATTAAAAATTACATATATGGCTCATATTATACATCTAAGTGGTAGCACTGCTCTAGGGACTGGAGATACCATAGTGAATAAGACAGATGCTGCCTTATGGCACTCATGGGGCAGACATGACAAGTCAGACAATACATGTTGGCACTATGAAAGAAGTGAAACAGGACACGGAGTGTCACAGGGCAATAGGAGGTCCCATCTGGGCAGTGATCTCAATGGAGCGAGGGGTGAGCCTGCAGGTGACAGTGCCCACAAAGGCTTCTGCTCTCACACAGAAGACACAACATATGCTCCATGGAGCACATGACATAGATGTACAGACAGCAAGGTGGGCATATAGGAGGCACTTAGTCCACCCTCCCTCCCTGTACCAACATGGAAACTCAGCCACCCCAAGCCACCTCTTTTGAGTCACAGCCTGGCACCAATACACCCATTGGCCCTTCTTTATCCTCCTAGGGCAAACAAAGGTGCCCAGCCACCTACTTTCTGCAGCAGGGCCACCTCCCTGGCCTTCTGGGAGGTCCATGGGCCACCCCTGGTGCTCCGCAGCTGCCAGTGAAGCTACTAGTCTCCCTCTCTCACCAGGAGGGACCGGAAAAGGTCCAGCTGCCTCTAGAGTACCTGGAAGGACAAGCAGGGGACAAACAGGCTTCTTCAGACCAGCTGCCAAGGAAGGGCCCTTTCTGCTCCACCTGTGCCCTAGACCCTCTGGGTTCTAATAACCAGTTTGCCACCCCCACCTACCCTAAGCAGCTCTGCTGGGACCTGTTTTATAGACTGGAGGTGTAGGCTGGGGAAACAGGGGCCTGAGGGGTAAGATCAAAGCGGGTGATGGTGGTGTCACTGCTTCCTCTCCTCCACAGAGTTTATTGTCTGTCTTAGCCCTGTTTCTCTTACCTAGTGACTGCCCTCTGGCTTCCCCTTCTTCCCTGCAGCCTGGGCCCAGGCCTGCCTCACCCTGTCCCTAGGACCATGATCTGGTCTCTTCTCTTCCTCCCAGCTTCCAGGCTTCCCCTCCAGGTCATCCCTACACACCCCTGGAGCGCACCTGTCCCTCCCCTGATCAATGCCTTCTCAGGCCCCCAGCACCCTGGGGGCAGAGATAAACCTGGGCCTTGAAGTCAAAGGCCCTACACGCCTGGACTTGCCTGCCCTCCACTCCAAATCCCACATGATGCCCCAGCAGCTCTGAACTGCAACTGCTGCTGCCTCTGGGGCTCTACGTGGGATACCTCCTTGCCTTCCTGTCTTGGCACGCACATCCTCTCCCTGGAAATGTTTCTGATGTTTGCCCTGGCTGAACCAGGTGCTTTGTCTGGGCTCCCCCATGGCCCCAGGCCTCTCACATGAGTTTGATCCTGTCTGTCCCCTGCTCCTGGGCCTCCCATGGTTCCCTATTGCCTCTAGACTAAGTCTTAGCCCCTCAGACTGGGGTGACACAGTGGTCAATAAAGCTCCTCATTTTGTCACTTTTCTCTGATCCCTCCCTCATCATCAGCCAGGTTCCTCCCTCATCATGGCCTGTGGGAGCTCAGCATCTTCCCCCAAACCTGCTGCTCCCTCGGTTCCCAGCTCAGAATGCCCACAGTCTTCATCTGTGCCCAGCCCCCACTCACAGCTGCCCCTCCTCTGGGCTCAACCACACTCTGTCCTGCCTCCATTCCAACCAGGCTGACCCTGTGACTGAGGGGCCAAACTCCAGTCCAGGTCACTTCTGGGAGAGGAAAGGGTGGAGAGTTACACTGGACAATGGTGCTCCCAGGGATGACCTGGACACTTCGCTCATCTGTCCCTGCCAAATGCATCCAGCACCCTGCTGTCCCCACCAGTCGGAGGCTTTGCAGAGAGACTATTCCAGGGTGACAACTCTGCCAGGGACAACAGAGGCAGAGAAACCCTTTCAGGGCAGACAACCTTATGGGGAACAACAGGGGTGGCAGTTTGGGGCCTGGATGGGGAAGGGTACTGCAGCTATGACAGGGTCAGGGACAAAGTCTAAAGGGATGCAGGAGGTACCAGTTGGTCTGAGGGGCTGCTGGGACTTGAAGTGTGACACAGTGGCAGGAGGATGTCCCAGCAGGAATTGGGGGGGGGAGCCTGGTTGGCTTTAAGGGAGTCTCTGACTGGGTTTGAGGGGAATCTCAGACGGAACTTCAGAGCCCTCTGATGAGATATTGGGTGGGAAATATGGCAGGACTTTTGGAATTTGACAAGATTTCTGGGTATTTGTGATAAGGCTTCAGAGATCTCTGCTATGATTTGGGGAGAGCATAACGGGATTTCAGGGAAAGCCAGACTGAGAGAGAAGTCTGATAGAATTTCTAGAAGATTCTAAAAGGATTTCAGGGGTCACCTATGAGATCTCCAGGAGGAATCCTTTAAGTATTTCAGTACTGGTTATAATCCAAGTCCGACTTGGTCAGGACTCGAAGACGACTTTTAACAGGATTTGGAAGGCCCTAATATTGGGGAATCTCTCTTACGATTTGGAGAGCTTTGCCAGACTTCCGGGAGTGGCTCAGACAGGGCTATTCTGGGGAACCTCACCACGGGCAGGGCGCACCTGGAGCCACGTCCCAGTCCTGGGACACACCTGAAAGCCACGAACGACGAACGACAGTTGCGTCTGGAGAAGGGCTGTGATGCGCGCGTGCACCTTTCCCGCCAGATAAGCTGGACGGTTGCGAGCGCGCACGCGCGGAGTTTAAGCCCCGCCCCGCCCCGCCTCTTTCTAAGACGCAGGCGCACAACTGGAGAAGATGCTTGCGGTTCTTGTCAGTTACCTGTAAAAGCAAAGTCTCGCCGACTTAGGGCTGCCCAGGCACGCCCAGCTAGGTGGAGCCGGCGCATGCGCACTGGCGGAGCGGTTGACCCCCTGCACGGTTTAAGGCCGGGTAGCTAAAGGAAAAGGTGACTGTGTCCGTTAAGATGGGGCCTTTCCTTTAGCCTCAAGCTTCGGTGAAACGGGGCCAAACAAGTTGAAACTGAGGGAAAGTTGAACTGAGGGACCCCCCAGTCAGTCCCTCACTTCTTATCAGCCGCCACGCCGTGCCTTCTCTGCAGTCTGTTCCGTGCCAGCCCGTTCGCCACCGTCACAATGATGTCCTGCCTTTTCCAGCCTCACCTCATCCCAGTCCACTCCTGCGCCTTTTTGTCGCTCCAGTCAGTCTGCTATAGTAGGTCCTCCAAGATTTTCCCAAACCATTTCATTCATTCCTTTTCAGAGAAAAGTGGAAATGGAAATATTCTTAGCATTTCTGGCTAGAGAGAAGATTTACACCCAAAATTGACTGCCAAGAAGGCGATTTGAGATAAAAGTTGTCCTATCTTGGCTTGGCGCTTGTAGCTCAGTGGCCAGGGTGCCAGCCACATATATCAGAGCTGGCGGGTTCGAAGCCAACCGGGCCTGCCAAACAACAATGACAACTGCAACCAAAACATAGCCAGGCGTTGTGGCGGGCGCCTGTAATCCCAGCTACTTGGGAGGCTGAGGCAAGGGAATCGCTTAAGTCGAAGAGTTTGAGGTTGCTGTGAGCTATGATGGCACAGTATGCTACCCAGGGCTACAGCTTGAGACTTTGTCTCCAAAAAAAAAAAAAAGTTATCCTATCTATTCAGCATCTTTCCTAGACCAGACTCAGAAAGGGAATCCTCTTATGCATCCTCTTGTTCATCTGATCATCATTCGTTCAGGGGTCACTTCCTCAGAGAGGCCTCCCCACCCCCCTCTAGCCACTTCCTCTGTTTTAGTGGTCCTCCTGGCATGTTTCACCATGCCCGAGTTTGTGATCTGTCTGACACCACCACTGGAATGTGAGCTCTCTGCAGTAGGAAACTGAAGACTAGAACATGCCTATTCTAGGGTGGGTGCTCAAAAATTTTTGTTGCGTGTACAAATGAATAAACGAGAGACTGGAATATATGCATTTCAAGTACTGGGCTGTGTAGAGTGCTGGTAAGGCTGCCAGCTTGAAGTCAGGCATTTTGGGGTTTGAATTTTGGCTACCTTACTTCCTAGCTGTGACCCTGGCACAATGACACTTTCTCTGATCCTGTTTTCCCCTGAGAAATGGAAATAATGTCTTCTTAGATTACTTGGAGGACTTAATGGTGATAATTCAAGTTTATAGAAGGTCATTGTTGATTAGTAGTTGTTACTGTGTTTTGGGTATTAGCAGCTTATTGTAAAGCAGTATTTTCCAATCTTTTTTATCTCACCGCACACTTGAACCTATAGCTAAACTTCCACAGCACTTCACGGCACTCTACCCAGGGCCACAGTCTGAGACTCTGTCTCAAAAAAAAAAAAAAAAAGTTATCCTATCTCTTCAGCATCTTTCCTAGACCAGACCCAGAAAGGGAATCCTCTTATGCATCTTCTTGTTCATCTGATCATCATTTGTTCAGGGATCACTTCCTCAGCGAGGCCTCAAGTAATGCTGATAAAAAAAAAAAAGTAAAAAATAGAATATAGTGGGCGGCGCCTGTGGCTCAGGGAGTAGGATGCCAGCCCCATATACCAAGAGTGATGGGTTCAAACGCGGTCCTGGCCAAACTGCAACAAAAAAATAGCTGGACGTTGTGGAGGGCGCCTGTAGTCTCAGCTACTGAGGAGGCTGAGGCAAGAGAATCGTCTAAGCCCAAGAGCTGGAGGTTGCTCTGAGCTGTGATGCCAGGGTGACAAAGTGAAACTCTGTCTCTTAAAAAAAAAAAAAAGAATATACTTACTGTGCTTTGAATCTCTTTTGAAAATAATTTAATTCATGGTCTTTAAAATTTTTCATGGCACACCTAATAATCCTCACAGGCACACCGTTTAAAAATTCATTGTTACAAAGTCTGGGAAGGAACGGTGTGGCAGGTGATGTGGCTGGTAGTTAAAAGGAACCAGGCAGCCAGGCATGGTAGGTCACAACTGTAATTTCAGCATTTGAAAAGGCCAAAATTGAGAGGATTAATTGAGGCCAGGAGTTCTAGATCTGCCTGGGCAATATAGCAAGACCCCATGTCTCAAAAAAAATCCCCTTGATGCTGGTGCTGCGGCTCACACGTCTGTAATCCCAACACTCTGGGAGGCCGAGGGTGGGTGGATTGCCTGAGCTCACAGGTCAGAGCAAGACCCCACCTCTAAAAATAGCCAGAGGTGGTGCCTGTGGCTCAGTGGGTAGGGCGCCAGCCCCATATACTGAGGGTGGTGGGTTTGAACCTGGCCCTGGCCAAACTGCAACAAAAAAATAGCTGGGCATTATGGTGGATGCCTGTAGTCCCAGCTACTCAGGAGGCTGAGACAAGAAAATAAATAAATAAATAATAAAAATAAAAAGAGCGGGTGTTGTGGCAGGCACCTATAGTCCCAGCTACTCACTTGGGAGGCTGAGGCAAGAGAATCACTTGAGGCCAAGAGTTAGAGATTGCTGTGAGCTATGACGCTACAGCACTCAACCAAGGGTGACAAAGTGAGACTCTGTCTCAAAAAAAAAAAAAAAATCCCATTGAGAGTGGATGGGATAGGGTGGCACCTGTGGC